CAAAAAACTGGACCGAATTGTCAACTGAAAAACTGGTAAAACTGATGAACGGTTTGGTTTGGTTTAAGTGATGAACTGGTCAAAAAGTAAACTAATATATCAAACCAATCAAAGCGGGGATAAACCATTTAGATGATTATATTGTTATTGGTTTTATTTTTTTTCATTTAGTTCCTAATATCTTAATCACTATAGATTTGAATGAATTTTAATAATAATTTTGGTGTCGGTAATTATTAATTTTAGTTATTGAAAAATCATAAAGATCAAAATTCTTAATGTTGTTGTACTTTGTTATTATATTGTTACAATAAAACTATTATAGTATTTTCTTGTATTTTGTTATTAGTTATTATTAATGTTGTTTTATTTTGTTATTTTTAATTAAACTATATTATTTTAGTGTGACTTTTTTAACTGTAAGTTGACTCAAGCCTAACCTATTGACCTTTTTGAACTACCACATCAACCAGTTTAGTGTTTGGTTCAATTTTTTTGTTCCTTGACGAAACATTCCTCCCCAAGCTCAAACCTTGCATCTATACACGTCTTTGAGAACAAAGTAACCCTCATGGCCTCATGTTTAAAAATTAATATAAACATATTATGATTATAAATATTATAAAAATGCATTGGAAAAGGGAACAGTGGTTTATGAAAATACTATAAACACTTAAAAAAAGTACTTTGATACAAAGTGAAACAAAATTCCTCTCACATACTTATTTTGTAGGATTTTATATATAGTTACTTTGAAAGCTAACGGAGAACCATATATAGTTAATTGGTGGGGATTTTATATTGGTAACTAACTAGCTAACTAATATGGGGGTGGTGTGTCATGTTCCACGGCTCAAGTGGGGTAGGCCTTTCTATGCGCTGAGAATTCAATGAGTAGGCCAAGAAGAATCTTTAGGTCTGATGAAGGGTATAATCAGATTCAGAGGATGAGCTTATAATAATAAAGGGCACGGAAGATTTGTTTGGATTGTTTCCCTCTGGACCTTTTGATTTCTTCCCCGCAGATTATTCTGCTTCTCTTCTTAAGCTTCAACTTTAACTAATCTCTTGGTTTCGAGAGAGTTTGAGCTACGATGACATGTCGTAATTCTGTTATATAGAAACTGCGCTAATTAAGAGAAGATATTGGTTTGTTTTGTTAATCTGCAACAAATTAAACAACTGCATTAAGAGAATGGTCCCCTAATTAATGGCCTAGTTGATGGCTCAACAATTTTTTGCCACAGAATCCACTTGTTGCCGGTGTGGGTGGGCTCTAACGAGAAGATTCATTTGACTTTTCTTTTCTTCTTTTTTCCAAAAAGGAATATACAATTAAAATCATGTTTAGGTGGATTGAAAAAGAACTTGATAGTGATATTGCTTCTTTCCTTGATTCTTTCAACTGACTATCTGAGAGTCAAAAAAATTCATTTATATAGTTGAGATTATCTAGATATTATTTTGGTTTCTATCTTTATCTCTAATAAACACAATAAACTTAGAAGGCATATGTGATATGTCTATATTTCATAGGTAAATTTATGAGTGCACATATACATTGTAATGGGGATAAATTAGTGTCCAACACCCTAATCTTATTTCTCTGGTAAATCTAGCATCCTGATGTTATTTTTATTTTTGCATCCAGCACCCTAATACATTTAGGTTCATAAACCATAAGTAAGATTAGAATGCTGAATGTAACTTGAAAAAATAATATCAAAGTGCTCAATGTACCTAAGAAATAAGATTAGTGCAAAAGATGCATATGAAAAATAAGATCAGTGTGCTACTTTACCTTTTTAAGAATTAAAAATAATAAAATAATAAGTGTTCATATAAAAATTTACAAATTATAATTTACATTACAAGAGTTTATACAAAATTTTTCAGGTATTTATAGATAAATTTATAAGTGTGCATATACATTTTAACAACTAACAATATAGCAAAATAAAAAATGTAATTGGAAAACTTAATAAATAAGTTACCAAAGTTTTGTGAAAAAAAATCATATATCTCTAGAAGTACTGCACCAAATAGTATACATGTGATTCATTCTCTGGAAAAATAAAATATTTATATTTTTTGCCCTATGAAGATTTCCGAAAAGCGGCAAAATGCATCCATCTTTTCTATCAAATCAAACTCGAGGAAAACGAATAAATGCACTTTCATTTATATTTCTATAAAACGAGGTCGAGAACTCGAGGGTATAGGGGAATAATATTCCTATAGTAGTAAGAAAGTGTAACTGTGTAAGAGAACGATTAATGAAAGCATGCGTTGAATTATTGTCGTAAATTTATTGTCCCTTTACGGAACACAATGGCCAAGCCCCAGTACACATATCTCAATTCATTTAATTTTAGATTAATTAATTTGTAAGTCCTTATAGTTTTAACCAATTTTGAATTAGATCCTTATAGTTTTTTTTCTTTTTATTAGGTTCTTATACTTTCATCTGTTTTTAATTAGGTCCTCGCATTTATTCTTCTTTTTATTAAGTTCTTATAATTTCATTAAATTTTTAATCAGGTCCATCTAGCTTTAATTTTTATTTGTTAATTAAATAGATTAATATTGAAATATAAAATATTAATAATTAAATTAAATTAATAATTATATAATAAAAATAGTAATATAATTAATTAATTCAGGAAAAATTTTTAGAACAATTAATTTTTTGCCAAAAAATTAAAATTATTATTATTCCTAGAATATTATTGTTTATAAACTAATATTAAATAATATATACTATTTTATGTTTATAGAATAGTACTATTGGAATTTATAAAATAAAGAATAAAAAATTCAAGGACTTAATTAAAAATAAGATGAACTTATAAGGACTTGATTAAAAGAAAAATAAATGCAAAGACCTAATTAAAAATAGGTGAAAGTATAAGGACTTAATAAAAAGGAAAAAAATTATAGGGACCTAATTCAAAATTGGTTGAAACAATAAGGACTTGCAGATTAATTATCCTTTTAATTTTTGTCAGAGAATGATTATTGCAATTCATCTTTCTCTTTTTTTTTTTTTTTGGGGTTTGAGATTATTATATACATCCGAAAGTCAATGAATAAACCAGTAAGTAGGAATTACCCCTCACTGTAACTTTGTATGGAAAATAAAAAACACTTCACTGGCCAAATGAATCGAATCACTTAAACCATTTAATTTCCAGAGTCTTTGCCCATAATCTTCGATACACTTTCATGTAACCAAAAAAAAAAACAACAACAACATATATGTGTGTATGTATATCCATGCATGCTAATTTTATCTGTAGTTTGCTCCACTTTCCGCAGTTCCTATTATAAATAGTAAATATTGCCAAATAAAATAAACATGAAAATTTCACATTACAATATACAATTTATATATGGGCAAGACATGAATTGAAAATCATAGGGATCGGATCGAAAGTTAACCATTTGGACAGAAGTATGGAAAAATGTTAATTAGGCCAGTGTACTGTGTGTGTTGAACTTTGTGTGATGTCGGGTGTTAGCCAGGGTTTAGTAAACCAAAGAAATGCATTTACAGTTTAGGGATAATATACTTTATACTATATAGATGTTATGTTATATGTGTGTATAAATTACAGTTTCATATTAATCCTCTGACCTTTAATATAGAATCTAATTATTGAGTTGATATTGATTCTAAATATGAGACTTATTTCTCATACTTATCAATTTTTTTCAAATTTACTCATATTGATACTTTGATCCCTCAATCATAATCAATCAGGAGAGGGATGGAGGATATTAAGAAAGATTATTATTATAGTATATTAGAAAAAATATACTCCTCCGGTCCTTATTATAAGACCCAATTTGACTTTTTATTTGGTCCTAATTATAAGACCCAATCCATTTTGTCTCTTATAGTTATGCATTTTTTTCCAAGATAATCCTTCTAATAATGATAGTTTTAGCCAATATACTTAATTAGTAAGGATATTTTAGGAATGACAACACTTATTTATTATAAATAACCAACTTAACTTACTTCCTTAATCTCCTCAAATAAGTCAATTGGGTCTTATAATTAGGACCGGAGGAGTATCATAATTCTTATAATTATTAATTAACTTACCTAACTTTTTTTAATCTAATTAAATTAATTAATCAAGTCTTATATTAAGAATAGGAGAAGTATTATATTGTTAACTCAACGGAGGAATTTTTATTTTCAGTGCAAAGGGTATTCTAGGGCACGGAAATTTAGAATTTGGCACAAAACTGTTGATACAATAATGAATTTCATTTGGAAGATAAGATCTAGATCATCTTATGTGTATTCAGCTTGGGATCTTTAATATCCCTAGTAGCAGCTCAACCTTTCTTTTTTTTTTTTGGGTTTATTTTGATCATTACATTCTACATAAATAGGATTTTTTTAAAAAAAGAAGATCCTAAAAATGCAAATGGCACCATTTCGTTATTATAATATATATGTATATATATATGTACCCCAAAATATCTCTTATTTTATACATGCAGAATACAATGATATAAACAAAAAAAAAAAAAAAGATTGAGACATTACAAAGAGTATCTGAGAGATAGGGACGCAAAGGCTCCAGGCCTGTAGTCAATGAGGGATCATATGTGTATAATTGGCAAGGACACGAGTTTCAATTTTCAATGCAAAGGAAAAGGAAATTAGAAATATTGCGTACAATTGGAGATTAACTTTTTTTTTAAGACATCATCAGTGTGCATGAAAGTAAGAAATTAAATAACCCAATAGTCTCACAAAATTATACTTATATTTCCATGCATAGAATTTTTGATTTGATTATCTTTGAATCAATCCACCAGTATGAGATACACTTGCAATCATAAAATTGACTTGATCATTGATTATAGACTATAACTTTAAGTTCATAATCCTTGCTCATTTCTATTTTGGGTTGATTCCAGTCAGTGAAAAAGATCTTGAATTAAGAAAGAGATTCCAGAATCCCAACGATTGCGACTTATCATTCCGCGTTTCCCCAGATAGACTTTGTTTCACTTTTCAGAAGATCATCGTCCCAAAAGTCCATGGTGAAATTCCCAAATTGCCCTTCATCTCTATCATTGTTTAGTAAGCTCTCCCACCACTCTTCTGACTGGTCTCTGTGCATAAAATCATCAGCAGCAGCACATGGGTCTGCAATACCCTCTTTCATAACACCAGGACCTGAAGTTGTGGCTTCTGCAGCATCACCACCTTCACTCGCAGAAACAAGCTTATTATTATTATTGTTATGATTCCTCCTCAGCCATGGCGAATTCTTAGAGAAAGTGTGAGGCTGAGGCTTTATCACTACGTGCTGTTTTCCTTGATGTGCCGTCTCCTCTGCATTATTCTTCATCACCACCACCTCTTTTGCTTTCGTCTCCTGGGTTTCTTCTTTCTTCCTATTCCGCATGTTGGTGTGCCAGAAGTTCTTCACATCGTTCGCTGTTCTTCCAGGCAGCCTTCCAGCTATCAACGACCATCTATAGCAGGTCTCACTTAAGTAATTATATCTAAGTTACATTGGAAGTATATATATAGTGGGAGACAGAGTGAGAGAGAGAGAGAGAGAAGAACATGCATACCTGTTGCCCAGAAGCTTATGAAACCTTCGAATCATATCAACCTCGTCTTCATTGAAGCCTCCTCTCTTGATGTTGGGTTTCAGATAATTCAACCACCTCATTCTGCAGCTTTTCCTGCATCTCTTCAAACCTGCAAATTGTAATAATGCAAAGCAATATCATATACATACACACACACACACATATATATCTAGAGCAATATATATGTTATGTGTGACATGTACGTACCAGCTCTTTGAGGAACAAGATGCCATTTTCCTTCGCCGTACTGATGAATGCAGTCTCTGAGAAGATTATCTTCCTCTTGGGTCCAGGTACCTTTCCTCAACGCACCTATTGTGTTCTTCTCCATTAATTTGAGGGTTTGCTGTGCTTAATGCCCAGTTAATAGTCTCACTCACACACACAGATTTATAAGCATATATTTCACAGCAAAGTCATGAGATTGAGAACAATCATATACAACACAATGGGCGTGAGAGCGAATTAACGTCCCAGTTACGTACAAATGTTAATGTAGGCAGAGACTGAGGCTGCGTGGCCTCATTCCCATCCCCAGATTCAAAAGTTTCGATGCTTCTCAACATTGCTAGAACACCACCATCTTCGACTCTAATTAGGGTGGCCCCACGCGTAAAGCAATTTGCATGCGCTCTATATAATGTAACATACCTTTTGTCTTTTTATATTTTGTATTAACTTTTTAAGAAATTAATAGACCAAATGATATATATATATATATATATATATATATGTACTCATCAGTTTAACCTACCCATATTATTTTTGTCCCTTTCTACTGCTGAATGATGCCCGGCCTGTCAAGTAGAGTGCACATGGGAGACAGGGTAACGTGCAACATCTGAGTCCACAGAGATTACCTGGACCCCTGGAGGCAATGGAACCCACACACAAAAGGCCAAATAAAACGGAAAGGCTATATATACATACATACATATATATATATATATATATATATATATATATATAGCGTGCGTGCTTTTTTTGGGTATGTTGTACTTAAATCTATATCTATATTTAATTTAAATTATATAGAATGAGTAAATATTTATTTTTGGTGAAGAAAAGCTTCGGTGAATTGAGTTTTAAGAATTTACTGAACCAACTAGAGTTGAGTCAAACATTTATTTTTCAAAAAAAATGGAACTGAACATTTTTATAGAAGTTAACTAATGAAGTGTATAATCTCTAGAACTAAAATTTACATTTGCGTGTAAGTAATCCAAACAAATTAACATTGGTAAAGATGACTTATTTTAACTTATTTTTGCATATTAAGGTTGGAATAATAATTAATTAATATAATATGGTTTATGTTTGGATAAATTTTTATGAGAAAAGTTAGTTTGGTACAAACTTATTTGAATAATATATATTAAAGTCAGTTTCAAAATGTTTAAATATGAAAAAAAAAAAGCTAAAAATTGAAAGTTAAAAAAAAAAAATTAAAAGTTCCCAACATACGAAATAGCTCTTCACGATTTGACATGGTCCAATAACATGATGCCAAACGAGCTCATAATATGAGACATACTGTTCATTATTGGTTGTGAAAAATACCACTCACCCTCTTCATTTATTTATATGTTATATTGTTGTTAATAATTTTTCATTTTTTTCATATTTATTGGCAGAAAACCTGTTTTTGATATTTGTTACAGTAATTCATATGGCTCATGTGATTATTAGCTAGCTCTGCTCATTTCAGAAACTCCGTAGCCCACTGTCTCAACAATTTTTTTCCCCTAAAACCGTTTCGACAAATTAAAAATATTTGATTTTTTTGTATAAATAATTTTTTAATCATAATTTACAGAATATAAAATAAATATATAAAAAGATTATCGTCTCAACTTATATAAAATGTGTTTATAAATAATTTTAAAAGTGATTCTAATTAGGACTTAAGAGGTATTTGGATGGAAGTCAAACCATGATTTTAAAAGTGTTTTTATGGTATACAAAGTAAATATATATAAGTCTACCTTATTTTGCGGAAAAACGCTTTTAAAAGGTATTTTTTCATCTTACCAAACACCCCCTTAATCATTTTCTAAACAAGAGGATGTAGAGCAGCCTGCTACTATTCTGGATCTATCCAGATATGCTAAGTTTATTATTATGTGCAAACACATTCGAGACCACAGAACATATATAATTGGGATAAAGTCATTGAAAACTTTCAAAATGTGGGATGCGATGGCCATATTATTGGCTCAATTAGTGGAATTAGTTTGCACGTACGTCTTGTTCAGTTTAATCAAAATCATTACAAATCAAATCATCAATTTATTTTTTTCCCCTCCCTTGATGATTCATTCAGATGAGATAATACAATCTGTTAATATATATATATATATATTTAAAATTAACTAGGCTGTGAGATACGTGCTTTGTGCCATTTTTAAGATGAGATGTAGCGTTGTACTCCATATAATTTATCAATAGTACTGCTACTCTTGTCAGATCGCCAGACAAAAAGGCTTATTTTAATTATGAATATGAGACTTTAATTTATTTTATTTTTTAAATTTATACTTTTCTTCTCAAAATATTCACATTAGTCACCGTCAAGAGGTCCTATCAAGGGGTAGTTCTAATACCTATTAGTGGTTTATCCGCTTAGGAAAAAAAATAATTTGTTGGTTCTTATAGTTTTGCCTAACTTTCAATCCAGTCCTTAATATATTTTTTTCTTTTCAGGGGTCCTTATAGTTTCCTAAATTATAGGTATTAGTCTCTATGCTCATAATATGATAATTAGGACTATTATGGATGTGATTAAGCAATATGTAAGTTGTCAAAAAATGCAAAATTAAAAATTAAAAAAATAAAATGATGGAACAAAATTTATTTATTATCAACTTAATAATAATAATAATAAATTTATTATGCTTATAACCATCTCCCTACCTCTATACTAGGGGTGTGCAAAAACCCAGTGATCCAGTCCAACCCGAAGTGGTCATGTCCGGTCCAATCCAGTCCAAATTAACTATATAATAAAATTAGACTAGACTGGACCAGACTAGTTGGTCAGACTGGACTAGGTTTCGGACCAAGAGATCATATCACCTAGACTGGTCTAGTCCAGTCTAGGTGAATTTTTTATTTTTCAATAATTTGTAATTTAGAAGGTGCCTTTAATTGTTTTTAATGTTTTTAGATATTTTTATGTATTTATGATGAAATCTTAATATTTTAGGACAAGTTTCATATGATTATAGGTATTTTTTATTGTCTTAATTGTATTTATCATGTTGAAATCTTATTTTTCATAAAGAAAAAATTAAAAAAAAAAAAGAAAATTGGACAACTAGACTGCCTGGACCAGTCCACCAGTCTGGTGGACCAAGTCCAGTCCAACCCGACCTCGGGTCATCACTGGACTAAACTAGACCACAGACTATTAAACCCAGTCCGACCAAAAATTCAGACTAGACTTCGGGTTGGGCTCTGGTCTAGTTCGGTCTGTCCATTGTGCAGCCCTACTCTATACAGTTGATTTTAATATTATTAAAATTCATATGACAAAATTAATTCTAGCGCTTGCTTAATGAGAGCCACATTATCAACTTCTGACGTCATTTCCCTTACAAAGTAACAAATTATAAGCATGCGAACTAATACATATAAATGAAAAAACCAGAAGGGCTGAATGAAAAGACAAAAATTATAAGGACTTAATTAAAAATGAGATGAAATTATGGGGATTTTTCTTAAATAAATTTTGTAAACGTCAAATTGTATATAAATATTTGAATTTATTACAGAAGCGCGGTATTCAAATTGGTTCAAATTTTTCTTTTTGGTACAGAAATTGGTTCAATTTGATAATAAAACGATGGACCGACAGGACGAAATCTTAGTTGCTATATACAGACAATTTGTAATGTTTTGGGCCCAAAATTATTGGCTTGGCCCGCTATTACGGAATTTGGATCGCCTCTTATCCCTTATTTGTCCTGTTCGCGTCCTTTCCAATTTTATCCTTACGTTTCCCCCCCCCCAAAAAAAAAAAACGTTATCCTTATGTGAATGTACTGTTTACACCAACATAAGGATCAGATTGAATGGCAAAAGCCTCTTCTTCAAGCTAGTCCTGATCAACTTCTAAGACACAATTTGGTTTGAATTTGAAGGGTTTGGAGTCTCTAATATGCCTTTTTCTAATATTCTTTAATTTTCTTTATAATATATCAACTTCTCAAACTTTTCTTAATATTCTACATAAAATTAGTGACATGTTGATATCTTATAGTTAAAAAATAGCGCGAGTTAAATTTTTTAAAATAATTTCTGAAGTAAAATACTTCAAAATTGTGCAATTTTGATTTTTAAAAAAATCATAAAAAATTAAAATTGCACTTATTTTTGCTCATAAGATATTAAAATATCATTAATTTTATGTAGAATCTAATAATCAAAAGAAAAATAAAAGACATTTGGAAGGCTGGAGTATTGCAAAGGGTACTAGGGGAAGCAGCTAAAGCACATTATGGGAATCTATCGCTTGAATTTAGGAGGAAACTAAATTAATGGTTGTAACACTACAATTTGAGTAAAATTTTAAGATAACAAAATTATAATTATAGTTATATGTAAGAGGTTTTGCAGTTTACACGAACCTAAATACCCTTTTCCTTGTATAGCATGGGATTGGATTTTGAGAAAACGGGACATGTTGTTTATATCATCCTCTTGATATTGCATCGTGCTCTCGGCAAGTGTCTTGGAATGGAAAAAGCAACAATTTACTTTTTCAAAATCCAACTATGTTTCGGTGACAATTTTTTTAAAAAGTCACATATTAGTATATCATCAGTAAATAAAACTAGTCAATCAATCCATATGTGTTATAAAATTTTTGGGAAGATCTACTAATAATACATTTTTTTTTATAAACCAAAAAACAAAACAAAGCCAACAAAGACCTTAAAATACTAGACTGTATCAACTATGTGTATTGGAATGATGAATAGGGTTTTGAAAAACAGTTTTTTAATTGTGATTTACAATGTGCAAAATAAATATGTAAGGTGAGTTTTATTTTGATTTACGTAAATATGTTCATGATAAGCAGCTCCAAGTACACAACCCTAAAGACTCCTTCCCAAGCCCTTCCAATTAAGGCCAAGCATGAAACCTCTCCCTCTCCTCTGTGCAGTCTCTCTGAGAAACCTTCAATAACTTGGCCTGTAGTAAGCTGTGCGAAGATATATGGTTTGTACTCCCCCTCATTAGATAGATTATCCCTAATGATCAAATTGTGATATTAATCCCCAAGAGTTATTCATCTAAATATACTAAACTGACATTAACAAATGCTCC